TTTACTTACCTCCAGACATGAAATACCATAAAAATAAAAAAGAAATACCTAGCACAGTATAGTCATTGTTGGAAATCTGATAGATGACTTTTATTGGAATAAAAGGTTCCACTGAACAACAACTCATAAAGAGATCTATTAAAATGATCTTTCAGGTTTTTTGCAAATGAAAAACACCTGGTTAGATTTTGGCCATGCAATAAATACTCCTTGCTTCAATAAATCATAATGGTGATGTTCCAATTATGCCTTTAAACCTAGCATCACTGCTATGTCATAAACAGTAATGTAGAAACTGATTACTTTAAAAAGAGAAAATGACACTTTATAAACAGTATAGGAAAAAAAATTAGCAACACTCCACTAAATATAACATCCCTAAGATTTAAGCGTTTTTTTAAAGAAAACGAAATAGATTTGAGCTCATTATCTGATTAAATGAAGGAAGGAAAATGATCTACAGCAAAATATTTTAAAGAGCCTAACAGGAATTAATACTTGCTGATTTCTGTAAACTACATTACTATACCTTTTTGAAATACCATTTTTACATTTTAAATTGGTATCAACAAATATTAGTATTCTTTACCCTGTTAGAATTGATAAATTCTAATTAGATTAATTACAGATATAATTTTAGCATCTTTCCCCAGCCTTCATCTAACATGTTTTGAACTATAGTTTCTATTAAGACTATTATGCTGTCTGGTGATGATGGGTACTGTAGTTCAAAACACCTGGAAGATCTAGTAATAGGACACACTACTTTCCAATGGTTTTCCTCCCATTTCCCCTTTCTTTTACTAAATATATTTTATTAAACATTTCAGAAAATATATAATATAAATTTAAAAGGAGAAACAATAAAGGAATAAAAGGGTAGAGTACAAGTGAATACATAGGGGATTTACAAGTATCACAGAAATTAAAGTTTTTGCAGTAATGATTGTAAATTAATTTTTACAATTAATTAATACTGAAAAGTGAAGGCCTGGCTCTTCCCTCAGGCATTGGGCTAGGGTAGGAGTTAAGCTGGGAGGTTGTTTGGTCTGGCTCCTGGGAGAAACGGTAATTTTGTTTTTAATCCCTGTTTATAAATCAATCAATCAAGTTATATTGTCTTGAAAACCTGAGACTCACTTTTAAGTTCCAAACAGAATATAAATATCAGGAACAGTAGTAAGTACAGTATAAATCAAAAAAATAAATTTTTAAACAATAAATTCTGTCCATACTACAAGTTTGTTCTGATTTAAGAAATTCTATAAAACTAAAATATTAAGATTTTATGTAAAAAGAAATGCAAATTTTGGAAACTGTACAAATCCATGTATAAAATTATAATCTATAATAATTAGAAATAGTTTTCCAAATTTAAATAAACTGCATGTCAGAATTACTTTTAAGATACAAAGTTATTTTAGACATCAAAGAATCAAATTTCTTCTACAACTTAAGCTATTCTTCCACAGAGGGGATCAAACATCCTTTCCAATAAGAGGCAAAGAGTATCCTCAAAGCAGTTAGTATGTACAAAGCTAATTCAGTACACTTTGTGGAAATATATGGTTTAATAAAGATTGATAAGAATATTGCACATTGAAAAGGAAATTCAACTTCAACAAAATTGGTTTCAATCTGGTATAAATCATTTGCCAGAACTGTTGAGCTTTACAACACTGACACCTGACAAGAAGGAACTATAGAATCTGATCATCACATTTCCAAAGGTTTTTAGAAAATATACTGTCCATTTTAGCAAACATGACTGGGGTAATATACTAGGTAAGGATCTTATACCAATTTTCTCTAAGTATGATATTCAGAATAAATTTAAGGTTCTTCTTTCAATGAAATCCATTGAACTGTTGCCTATTTATTACAACATCTAAATTCTGCATCCATTGATCATATTTAACTTGTTAGGTTTCTGAATCTTGGGAAGATTTCTGATTGTGTCATTTGGAGACAAATGCTCTTTGAAATGGTGTACTTTTCCAATCTACTCTGTCTCCAATTCTTTCAATATTTGTCAGTTTGCTAATAATATGCAAATCATGTATTAATGTATAGTGTGGGGCTATTGTGTTTTGACTTGCGTTGCTTTTTAGATTGTTTTAGTCCAGGCTGTCTGTGTGGTTTTATGTTTCATTTGTTTTTACGGATTTTTTGGTTCCGTATGCCACCCAGGGTCCACTGAAGTTGGGTGGTATAACAAATTATTAGTATTATTTCTGTGTAACAATTTCAGGTTATGTTACGGCTGTTCAGAAAGCCTCTCTCCAGTCATTAATAGCTTGATGAGAAATGATAAATCAAAGCATATAAAGTGGAGATTAACAGTTCAAACAAGTAGTAGATCTTTCAAATCCCAATGAGGTCACATTCATCTAGAAAGTGCAGATATGTAGTTGGGAGATAGATTGTTCCTGACACTAATTTTTTTCTCAGGTTTTGTATACTGAGATATTGGCTAAAACTGCCTTTGACTGATATACCCTGTCCCTTTCTAGAAGAAAACAACTTTTAAAATGCTGGTGACCTCTAGGGCTGACTGCTATAACAAACTCTACATGCCTTTGCATCTAGTCACAAAATTTTTGATGGTACAAAACTCAGCAGCCAGGTTTGTCTCTGGAAAAACTCAAAGGAGCCACATCACAAGTGTGCTTAAAAGCACGCCAGCTGCCAATTTCTTTCTGGCTGAATTATAAAGTGCTGGTTATTAGTTTTAAAATCTAAGTGGCTTGTGAATTTTTTCTACAGCTCACATTATCTGAGGAGGTTCCCCTATAGTTGTCACAAGTTTGTCGATGGGATCAAGCTTTAACCACCCAGGTTTTTTGGGAAAGACTCCCTGTTGATTTTAAAAAGTTCTAAAGACACCCTTTTTAATCCAGGCATGTAAGTGTTGGTTTTAATCATGTTTAATTGTTGTTTAAATTGTTTTAATATTTTTTTTTACTATAAACATATTTTATGCTTCTACTTAAATCATTAAGAAATCCCATAAGTCCTTGGTATAACACTGTGGCCAAAACCTGGTTCACCTAAAGCAACCAAATCAGGAGGGGGTGGTACCTTTTACTACCACAATAATCAATTGTATAATGAAATACAAAGAAATAACTGTAGAAAAGGCACTATTTCTCAGACTCAAACTTTCATTTGAAATCAGCTAGGATCTTATTTGGAGGTATTCCTCTAGATCAGTGTTTCTTGAAGTGTGGTCCAAGGACCCCTGGAGGTCACCCAAGACCCTCTCAGAGGTACGCAAAATCAAAATTATTTGCCAGATATTGAAGATAATTGCAAAAATTTGAAATGTCACTCTTCTCATTATTTTTTATTTCTTAAAAAATATAGTTTTTTTCATGAAAAATATTTTATGTTAATCTTTAATTAAATAATTTAATAACAATTAATTTAAATAATTGCTAATTATGTTAATAAAGAGCCAGTTTGGTGTAGTGGTTAAGGCATCAGGCTGGAAACTGGAAGATCGTGAGTTCTAGTCCCACCTAGGCACAAAGCTAGCTGGGTGACCTTGGGCTAGTCACCTTCTCTCAGCCCTAGGAAGAAGGCAATGGCAAACCACTTCTGAAAAACCTTGTCACGAAAACTGCAGGGACTTGTCCAAGCAGTCTCCAAGAATCAGACGTGACTGAGCAGATTAAAAAAAAAATCTTCAATGGGGTTATTATTTTTACATGATTCAATAAATAAATATTCTACAAATGCATCAATTTTAATTTTTAAAATGTTAAATTTCAATAAATACAACCCATACAAAAGCTATTTTAGGGATCTCCATAATTTCTTAAAGCGGGACACTGCTCTAGATGTTTTCACTTGAAGCAACTGAGAACAGTTTCTGTGGCATGCCATTGCTAGCTATCATATACGTATCAGCCAAAATCTCTTCTGTTTCTGTGCATTGGGGGCTGGATGCTACATAATTTTTTATTTGCAATTCCTTTGCTTTATACAGCTGTTTTGTTGGTAAATAAGTAGTTTCATCTGCTTTGATCTTATTAACATACTCTTTTATCCTATTCCTACTTTGAATCTTGTATTTTCTATTTAATGACAAGGGTTTGGCCTAAAAAGTGCTCTTCCATTTACACCAATTCCCCCTCTATCTGCAATCTCCTGTATCATAGCCATTTGCAAGGGGCCTCCATTCCTGAGAGTCTAGGAATAAAACATACAGGGCATGAACAGGAACAGTATTAGAAAAGCCTCAGTAAGAACATTTAAAAAGCCCTCCTGATTCAAAATAAAGAGCATCCATGCAGTTCAGCATCCATTTTCTCACAATAGCCAACTAAATTGCTCTGAAAAGCCCATAAAAATGAACAGTAAATGTCTAGTAACAGAAAGAATTTTATCTTTAAGGTATTGTACTTTATAGTACGGTTTATAAGCTTTTGAATTAATAAATCAATGTGTAGAGAACTTCTATTCTACACTATTAAAATAATACAGAAGTAATGTATGTAAAGTCTTTTCAAACTCTAAGTGATACTAAGCTAAGCAACCCAGTGTTTTCCAGATGCTTTGGATTCAAACACCTATCAGCCTCAATTAGTATAGCCGTGGCAACAGATTTTGAAAGCTGAAGCCCAAACTTCTGAAAGGCTCCAGTATCCAATCCTGTGTTATAATTATTGAAGATGATGATGATGATGATGATGATGATAGAAGCAATAATAGAAAACTAAATTTCATAGACAAGTGCAAACATGTATAGGGGAAAAGGAAGTGCAAAATCCTAATAAACGTCTAGAACTGTTGTCCAGATTTGCAGTTAAATCGTTAACTGATCCAATCAGTGACTGAATTTGATAAGAGAATGGGGAAATTGCTAGGACCCATCTAAGAGCAATATTTACATTTTTATGTATATTTATATGTAATTTAAACTGTTTAAAAAACACCACAAGACAACATTCAAAATAGTTTATTGTTTCATTCAACGTGTTTCCCTTGTTACTTACCCACTTTTGTTGTAATGCTGCTCCTTCTCTTTTCCTCTGGATCTTTCCTTTTCCCTTGCTTTCTCTTTATCTCTGCCTTTACGTCTCTCTTTTTCACGAGACCCACTACGGGTTCTCCTGTGACTAGTTCTTTCACTGCTGCGGCTATAGGATCGTTGCTGAGGTCTGGAATGTGATCTATAATTAGAAAAATAAATGAAAACCATGTAAAGCAACAACTACAGAAAACAATTACAATCATTTTAATAGTGATATCCACTTATGCTTTTCTCTGTATTAAATCTAGTTTGTTCATAAATATGCACTTTTTAAAAGATGCAAATAAATTAAATATATAAATGTGAAAAAATCTAAAAGAGATTAAATAGCTGGTGGAGAGTTAAAACTTATCAAACATGAATGACCAAGTGCATCAGAACAGGGGATTTATAATTTCCTTCAGAACATGGAGAAACAAAAATGGAATTTTTTAGCACCTATACTCCTTCTGAAAAGTCTGCATAGAAGACTAAAAGCTAATATTGAACCATGTGGGATGTGCAGTGAATGTACAAAAATTGGAGAACTGCATTTAGTTTTGGACAGTAATCCCCTCTCTCTGCGGTTTTGTTTCCAGTTAGAAGGTTACTGTTGGTAACTTGTCTTCTTTTAAGAACATTTTTTCTAGTCTCCTAGGCTGGATCACATAAGATACTAAGAACGGCAAAAAAGGTGTCTTGAAAGATATACTAGAAATAATATAAATTATATACTTGAAATAATATACTTATAACATAAAAGAGAAAGAAAGGAATCAATATACCAGCTTCCCATTAAAGGAAATAAAATGCTAATAGCTAACAAAAAAAGGAAAACTAACTCAGCTCCTATTTGGCTCTAATAAAAGGATGAGTTTTCCATCAGGCAATTGCAAACAGCAGAAAAATGTATGGGATACAAGCTTGAGATTGATAGAAATATCATCAGGGAATCCATATTTACTTTGAGTTTGAATTTTAAGGTAAGGACAAGATGATGGTTTTGGATGATAGTCTAGTAAAATATTTCTTTAATACCACTGAGAAATCTTAAAGAGTGAGAGATGTGCCAGGTAACTGGAAGAGGGCAAATGTTTCCTTATCTTTCAAGACAAAAACAAACAAAAAAAATATGCTGCACTGAACATTTGCAATAACATGAGAGCGAAGGGACAATGCTTGAACATCAGCTACATCTGAGAAGTGGCAGAGGAAAGAGGGATGGAAAAATGGAGAGAGGGGCAGTGACTCAAACATCAGCTGCAACTTAGAGGAGGTAAGACAGACATTGGGAAGATGGAGGGTTGATGCTCCAGCACATAGGCTATACAACAGAGGAAGGGATGTTGTGCACCAGCTTTCACCTACTTGCCATTTAAAATCACTCTAAGATCCCACCAGAGTTTGTTTTGACCATACCTTGGAATAACAAACCAAGTTTTGATTCTGTCAAATCACAGCTCATATCTGAAACATTTTGGTAAAAGAATGCAATTCCAGTTTCCGCAATTCAGATTCAAAACAAAATGTATTTTCCATTTCATGCACACACCGACTTGAAGCTGTGTAGCACTTCAGAATTGATCACCTAACAGTGTTTCAGAATGTGTGGGAATGTGAATATAGCATTGGTTTGCAATACTTGAAAGCAGTCACTCTTTCCTGGGATCACATAACAGGTACAGAGCACATTAGTGCAATCCCAGGAAAAAAAATAATTGGTTCAGAGTGTCGCAGACAGGTGATAAGTCCATATTCACATCCATTCTAAAGTATTTTTTGGAAACTATATTCAGAGTGCTACACAATTCTATTAATTAGCCAATCAGCATAGGATGTTTCTACCTGTACAATCCAGTCAGAAAGGATGGGCATGCTTCAGGTCCCATCAGCCAAAGAATGTTGGCTGGTGGGGCCTAGATGTGCCTTTTCTGCTGTAGCGCCCAGCTTATGGAACATTCTGCCTCTGGAGATCAGATGACCCTGAACCTGCTGGCCTTTTGTAAGGCCCTGAAGACCTGGGGGGCCCTGAGAGCATAAGCGAGTGATTTGGGTTGGTGTTGTTCGGCCACTGTTTATTTTAACTTTGGTAATGTTTATAATTGTTTTTTATTTTATTTTAACTTTGTTCGCTTATTGAGATGGGCAGCCAGTCTTGCCATCTGTAACTGAGACATATCTATCTCATTAAATAGATACCTCTTGATTTAAAGCATTTAACAAAGTATCCCATGACATCCTAATTATCAACTATGGTTTGGATAGTATAACAAATTAATAGGTTACACAGCTAACTTCAAAATCATGCATATCAGTGGTTCATCAAACTGGAGAAAAAAAGATGTGGTACATTCTAGGCCCCATAGCCTTCAACATTTTGATTAATGACTTAGAGGAGAGGGAGAAGGCAGGGGAGAACGTTTGTAAAATCTGTCAATAGTACAAAATTGGGAGTAACATTGTGGCAGGGGGGGAAATAAAATTTCAAACAACCTTAAAGTTTTAAATGGTCTGGAAATAACAGAGTACAACTGAAGAGGGGTAAATGTGTAGTTCTTCATTTAGGAAACAAAAATCAAATGCAGAAGTATAGAATAAGGATTCATATAGTACAGGTAGTCCCCAGTTTAAGAACAAGTTCCATTCCCAGAGTCTAGCCTTAAGTTGAATTTGTATATAAGCCAGAACAGTATTATTGTATAACACTGTGTAAGTAGTATTGTGTAAATAACTCAAACCATTGTGTATTTAACTCGAATCATTGTGTATTTAACTCAAATTTTGCTACAATAAGCTCCGTTCTTAACTATGGGTCGTCTGTACACTGGGTGTTCTTAATCCAGGGACTATCTGTAGTGTGAGGTGGATACAAAAAAGGGAAATGCAGTTTTAGTTGCAACAACAGAAGTTATCGCTTCAAAATTATAGGAATTTATGTTGCATTGATCAGACATCACTACCAGCATTGTGTCCAGTTCTGGGCACACATTGCAAAAAGGAGTCAGTAAACTAGAACAGTTTCAGAGAAGGACAGAGAAAATGATCAGGCACTAGATCTGATCTATGCAAGTCCTATGCAGAGGGACTGAAGGCACTGGAAATGTTTGCCTTGATTTAAGTTACAGAAGGGCAAATTCTGGATGAATGTTTATGTAGTATATAAAAGTTTTCCAGTTATTATTGTTAAAAATCAAATGCCAAACTATTTATTTACAAAAATAGCATGGTGATTAGGAATGGTGCATTAATCAACAAAAGGATGATGATGATGATGATGATGATGATGATGATGATGATGATGATGATGATGAAGAATTATTATTATTATTATCATATCATCATCATCATCATCATCATCATCAAATTTACAGGTCACCCAACTCCCAGTGCATCTGGGATAAGGGAAAGAGGAAACCTGATTTGCTTCCCACAACCACAAAAAGTTGTGGGATCACATACTCATCACAATAAGCCAAATTCAAAGATCTTCAAGAGTTCTTAGATTTAAATAACCCTATCTTGTCTAACTTACAGAACAGACAGATGCTTGGCATCACTTAGCATCTCCAAATATTGGCACCATATAATCAAGATTCCACCATCTAAACTCATAAGCAACCTCTTAAGTCACCTGTTGAGGGAGATGGGCAGCGTACAAATTTAATAAATAAATAAACAAATAAAAAAGCAAACAAGCCTCTTCATTTCTTTAGCAATATGCTCACATATTTTTTTTAAAAAGGCTGAAAATATCCATAAAGGACTATCCATTTACTATACATTAAGTGCTAATTTGCTAATTTCTTCACAAGTAATCAATTAAAATCTTAAATATTGGACAAAATATCTTGCAGTAAATTTAACATCTGTTCTATAAGCATAATTGGTTTCATAAGAGCCTTATGTAATCCAAACACTAACCAAGTTGAAACAAATAAAACAGATTTTAAAACAGGTTTGAGAAAAATCTGCATCTAATTAGCAGGTAGGCACTACAACTTCACTAAGGCTGCATAACTTTTATACATTTGTATTTACGAAGTGACAGAAGATCTAAGGACTTTTTAAAATGGCGTTTATTGTTCAAATAAGAACTATTTGCTGCATAGTAAAGTGATTTAAGTCCTTATAGGGCTGCTTTGAAAAAGATCATAAATGGTGAAAGAAAACATGTGGAAAACTGTAAAACTAGAAAGAATTTGCGACAAAAAACAGATTCGCATACCATAACAAAAAGGAAACTACACTTAATTAAATGTACACTACATCTGCAATACCAGCCTAATAAAATGTGAAACTACTAATTTTCATTGTTCTGTAGGGAATGTGGTCAGTGTCATTTCACATTCACCCGGCAATATTACTCTAATACAATAAAACACTCTTTAATCTTATAAAAAATCCCACAATTTAAAAAATGTTAACATGTACACAGTTCTCAGAAGGGTAAAAATGGTTGGACCTTCTTATTCTGTTGTAGAGGACAGATTAAGTAAATAAGTTATACCCACTGGAAAACAGGACCCATTGCATTGCTCAAGTTTTCCATATTGCTAGTATGCTATATTTTTAAAGCCAAACCTATCAATAACAATACCAGCATCAGTTATTAAAACTAAACAAAAGATCAACCACTGTTTTCATGTGGTAATCAACCATTAGAATACAAACTTTCTAATTAAGAACAAAATAGTTCAAAATTAGACAGCAACAGTTAGAGAAAACAAGCACTGACAGAATTGCACAATTATTATTTTTTTTAATTCAGTGGTGTCTCTGCAACTATCTCATATTGTTCAATACAAAATTAATTGTATTGAATGAATTCAGGTTTGGTTCAAGAAGCTCCATTTCCATGTAACTTATGCTTCCAGTGGAATCTGGGCTGGATGGGGAAGAGGAAAGTTACAAATCAAATGTGTGTGGCTAATTTATTGAACCATATTCCATACCAACACTATTGTTAAAAAACAATCATCACACTGTTAGGATATATAGCTTTTACACAGCCCAGTTTACATAAATGAATTCTTTATTCCATTTGGTTTATACATTTCTTGATTCAAGCCATCAAATCTAAGATTAGTTTCCAAAGAACTGATATTTAACTATTAAGGGTACCTTACTAGAAGTTCTCAAAATCACACAGTTTTATTGTTG